TATGGACTTTGGGTAATTTGATTTCGGTTTATTTCTATTAATTTTGTTCGGCACTATTTTAGTTTGTTTATTAATCTTGGTTATTTTTTGTTTAAGTCATCTTTTTCGGAATACTCCACCCGCTCCACCTCATATAAGAATTCTCAAACAGTTGGCAAGCGTGTTCTAAAGCGCTTACAGATTTCCGAAACTCTACTTTGGGTGTTTGTGGAGGTTCAGACAGCATCAAATTGTGCAGCATCCGCTTGTGGCATGCTTGTGACATAATTCTGAAGAGCAGGTGAGGTGCGAACGACAAACGACAAGGCAACAACATGTGAGCGGCAACAGCGTCGAAACGTGGGTGCTTCCAGCAATCTTTGGGTTCTCTGCTTTCACGTGATATGCTTGAAGGGACAGTCTACGCTGATTCTATGGGCGGAGTCCGGACTACCACTGTGCCTTCTTCATTGCTGCGTCCTCGAGTGCTGCCGTAGGAAAGAGACTGGGACTAATAAAGAAGGCAAAATAGTGACCCCCGACTCCGCCCATACCATCAGCGTGGATCAAGGACAAATAACAAATCATAAATAAATGCTCTTAACCAACATCGGAGATAAATCGCACTGAGTCATAAATACACGAACAACGAGGTATCAGACAGAGACAATACAACAGATCATCATGTTTTGGTACATGTGCCAAGGGAAGTGAATGTGCCGCCGGTGCAAGTGGCTGTGGTGGCTCCCGTCACCGTATACCCAGCGTCACACCTAAGCGTTGCTGTCGTTCCTTCCGTATACGGCGGAGTAGGATCACTGTAGGTGATTGAACCGCCAAAAGGTTGAAACAATCCAAAATAGCAAGCATTTTGGTTCGGCAAAAGCGAACCAGTGGCTCCTGTGGCTCCTGTAACGTATTTGACCAATGCAAACATAAACCGGCACATAGAAGAACTGAACCATGCAAGCTGTGAAGGAGAGTGCCAAGTGTAGGAATAGGGTTACCTGTAGTTGAACATGAGCCAAGTGTAGTCCACACACCATTGTTACAGGTGCTAGTAGACGAGCCGATCACAGTCTGACCCGAAGGGCATGTCATAGTGGCAACAGTTCCTGAAAGAGCAACGTGGGTAGACTATAAGAGGTACAGCAGGAGAATCCCGCATGGATGTTAACCTTGTGGCCACGGTCCGAATGTGCTTCCACCACCAGAATAACTTAGTGTAGAGCCAAACGGAGAGAACGGCGCGAAGATACATGAAACGCCTATTGATGTGTTTCCTCCTGTAGTTGAGCAGCTTCCAATTGCAGGTGTCCACTGGCCATTTGTACATGTTGATAGAGCCGAACCTATAGAGTCTCTTCACAATGAAACCAACACATATTGTGATAGTGTATTTCATGGGCTATGATCGTCAACGGGACTTAAGGGCATAGTGTAAGCCTGTCGTGTAGGCGGGGCCGGGACCATCGTTGCATCGTTTTCGCTGAAGCACTCTTCCTTCAAAGTCTAACAAGGAGGGGCACACCTATAGGGAAAGCAGTGGCGGGCCTGACTCCGCCTATATGACGACGGACTGCGCGTAGCCAGTTGCTGACAGAAGGACCACTTTGAAACACGGTTAAACAGTTGGGAAGAGAAGGAACGTGACGTAACCCTTGAAACCTGGCTCCAAGCTCGACCAAACGAAAAAGCTGTGCGGAACGGGCTGCCGTGCCATTTCGGGCTCCGCGTCTCCCGTTAGCGCCGTATGGCTGCTTATGAGTAGCCAGCACACGCACGGCCTTGCCCCCTCCCCACCCCTCGCCGATTGGTTATTAAATACGTATAGCGATGTATCGGCTGCCCACCTTCGCGGAGCGTCGATTCAGGTAGGTGATAATTGAGCACTGCTGCTGCTGCTAACGCTTGTGGAAGCTTCTAAGGACGCTGCCTTGCAGCTCGGGTTGGTGGTTATTCTCCAGCGCAGGCTCAGCCTTATAAGATTTACGGCGCGTCAGCGCAACCTATGACTTCTAGGTAGGATAGTTCAGTAAGAGACTGAGATGTTCTGATGTTGACCAAGACAACATTGCCTGAAGAACATGGCCACGCAAATTGTCTAAACGTGGCAAGCTGAGAGAGGGCCAGACGGCCAGAACAATTCACGTGCCTTAGTTCCTGTGGCTTCTCCGAAAGCTCATAGCGCTGTGAAAGGTCATTCATGTAAGAGTTCGGTGAGGGAGGGGACGGTGATGGGCGGGACTTGAAATGCGCTTGCATTAACGAGGCAGAGAAGCACCAACTGGTTGCTAAGCGCCGTTGCAAAGTGAACCTGGTCCACACCTGCGAAGTTTTACACTGCGGATGATTCCGCACCTTCTTTGGAGGCATCACGTATGATAATGAGCGGTCTCCCGAATCAAAATCTGCCACGTTGAAGGGTCAAACTCCCATGAAAAAGTTTAAGAAATCGGAGTACTGCAAATCGCACCAATAGGAGTTCCGCTGGTACAAAGAAGTGTGGCAGTAGAACCAGGCGCATGATTAGTAGTGAAATCATTGTCACTGTAGTCTACCGTACCACCGACCGCCTGGACCGAAGGGCATGTTCCTGAAAGTGGGCGATAAGCACATATTGGAACCTTAGAAAACATCTCACCTGTAGTGCCACCAATACCACCAATACCAGTAGATGATCCACATGTGCCCAAGATAGATGGAGACCAGAAACCATTCTGGCATGTTGCCGTGCTTGATCCTAAGTGGTTATCAGGTCGGTGACGCTCAAAATTTACAAACATCTAAGTTTACATTTTTTGGAATTGGTGAATTTCTAATGTGGTCTATTTGAATAAAAGTGCAAAGCAGACGTTCCACAAACCTGTTACCGCAGCTCCACTGAGACATCTGGCAGTAACGGTGGTTCCAGTCCGGAAAAGGTGGAAAAAGCAAGAAATTTGAATAGGACAGTGAAGCTCCCACTGGTGTCGTCATCGCTGGACAGGTGTTGGCTGAAAACGTCCAAGATGAGAATCACTGCTTATTAAAACCCCTCGAAAGTGAGGAAAGCAATCAATGCGAATCAATATGGGAAGGAACTTACATCCTCCAATCCCTGTAGTGCTGTTACAAGTGCCGAATGTTGATGGCGTCCACATACCGTTGGAGCAGAGTAAACTGCTCGTACCTTGAACATGTAGAGAATAGCCAGGGGAGAAATGAACAAGTGAACGGGTTAGGGTGGGCACTGTTGGGTCCCTCAACACGGCGCGCGAATTCGCCGTATATCGCTTAGCGGAAGAAAGCTGTATCACCCCACCCCATCGTGGTTTGCTTCTCAAGAATGGGTGCGCGATCCTCCTGGCACATCAGCGCGGAGTGCGGCAAGACCTAATGACTTATCGTCCCTATCGCAGGCGACAACAGACGACGGCTCTGTACTTTCGTGGCGTTTCTCCTCTTTCGGACACCGTCTCTATCTCCATTTTGCCTCAACATTCGCCGCCTCGCAACCACGCCCCTTGCCACCTCCAGATAAAGGCCGTACTTGCACATCCACCAACCTTGGACCTCAGTAGACCCTCGAAGAATGGCATGTCAGAATTCATATCCTAAGTGGGAAGCGGATCGGGAAAAAAGTTAGGTAATAAAAAGTGAACGAACCTTGAACTGTACCACTGAAGCAATTCAAAGTGGCAATAGTTCCTGATGTAGCAGGCGTTCCCAGCAAGCCAGTCGATAACGTGATTGTGCCACCTGCTGGGGCAGTCAGCGTGGGGCAAGTTGCTCCTGGAATATCCTCGATTTTGGGTCCTGAGTGCTAGAATTTCTCCATGATATCCTAATCCCCTATAGACTGGGATTTATCGTAGTCTTATGGACTGATCAGATGCTCTTCCCAATACCTACCATCATCTGGAAGCTCGCACGAGGCGCAGTGTAGGAGGTCGCTGTTATGACAGCGCTGCCTTAGGTGGTGTCACGCGCGCAGCATTCGCTACAGAACTGGATCAATTCAAGGTGGAAGTACCACAGCATCGTGTGTGAAACACACGGGGAGAGTACTTTCCGGGCGGGGAGGGGGG